CACCGACCTTCTGAAGGGCAGGCCCAGCGCCGGGCGGGGTATTCTAGGAGCCAGCAGGCGCAGGGTCGGAGGCCCCGAACCGCGACATGTCCAAGGATGAGGTTGTGAACGACGGGCAGGCTTTGATGACATGACTTGGAATGGTTGGATCACAAAGACCGCAGCCTTAGAGATGATGGCTTGGCGGATGCTTGGATGGAAACATGGTTGGGCCTGAATCACGAGCATAACGACGAAGCAAGGGGCGATGACGAGGTGGATGAGTGATGCCACGGAAACTTGTCGCTTGGAACCCAGGCTTGGACTATCATGAGGGCTGACAGCGCGATGGCCAACGTGAGCCCGTGTCTGGCTCGTGTGGCTTGGCCGCTGTCTCTCCAAACTGACGTCGGCCCGGTCCCGAGAACATTCAGGTAGCAGATGCAGTGCAATAAGTCAACTTTCGATCTCTTCACAGACTTCAGCTGTCCAATTTGGAGGCGCTCATGTCATGCTACACGGTTTGATGCATTTCCATGTGCCAAAATGATGGCGCGGCATGCAGGCCATGGACCTGGAGCGGCTGGTCCAACATTGATACGTCCCCCGGACACAGCTCTACCCCGCATAGTCATAGACTCCTTCCCGCCTCGAGGCATCCTCGTCCTCGGAAAGTCTTGACCTTCACAGGCGAGTTGGTGTTTTTGTGTCACTGGAGCATGGCAGCCTCTTTCCCTGCCTGTCCTATCAGAGGTATGTGCAGGCCACTGTGGCGCAACGTCGTCGGATCAAGGTCCTCAATCTTCTTCTGGCTGGGCGAAAGGGTTGGCGATCGGCTCGCTTCCGTCGACAGGGCTGACGAGGACCAAGAGTGTACCGCGTGCCACGACGAGGCCAAGAGATCGGGTGTTCTCCTTTCCCTCATCATCTAGAGGCAGAATGTCAGTTGCATGTCCAGCCAAGGAGGGGGGTAGCATACCTCTCATGACTTCTTCGACGTCATCGAGCACGAGATTCATCAGAGCGTCGTATCCCTTGAGTGTGCCAGTCACTGGACACCAAAGTTAGCCGGTGATTGTCGCCGCGATGCGCTGGGCCGCTGGGCCTCGGCGGTCGATACGAGGGATCACTGACCTTCGCGACCGCCATTGAACTTGACGGTGATCTTCTTGTCCATGTACTTGCCCAAGTCAAGGATGTTCTCCTTCTTGGGCCTCTCGCGGTCGCCGCCAGCACCACCCTGGCCTCCACCGTGTCCGCCACGACCTCCGCCGCCGCCGCCTCCCCTTCCTCGATGACCTCCTCCACGACCGCCGCCTCCTCCTCCTCCTCCACGATGCGAGCCTCTGTCAGCCATGGCGAGGTTTAATGCCGAGTCGCGTGAGGTTGCCTGAACAAAGCAGCTCGATCGGTCGATTGCGATTCTCGAGAGATGGGATGCGAGATATCGGGAGGAAAGCTTTCGTCGCGGGATGCGCGTTGTGTCGGCCTCCGAGAAAAGTTGGGGTCGGACTTGATGAAGTGGAAGTACCTTGTACCTACCTCACCACGTCTCTATCGATTGACGTCCGACGTTGTTCAGGCGGCGGCGTTGTACAGATGTGGGCGGGGCGGGGTGGAGGGGTGTGGCGCTACCTCCTGCTACTGTGGCTGACGCTGGTCAATGAGCGCACCACCCACCCGTTCTGTCTCTGGGCCGACGCTGCGGCGTCGATGGAGGTGCCCTACCTTGGAGCGCTGCTCATGGCAAGCCAAGTAGATGTTGCACAGCACCACAAGTCACGATCCAGTGGCACGCCCACACGACCATACAGTCATAGAAACGACCGAACGATAAGTCGGGTAGGACGAGCATCCATGATGCGATAGGATCCTGCGATGCATTGCTGCATGGTGGTTGTCGGCACAGCATCGGACTAGTTCTGTTGGCCTTGGACAGGCTTCCTGCAGGAGGACATGCTGGTTGCTATACTGCCTTGAATTTCAGCTTGTCACTTCAGATCATGCAGGGTACCTCATCCGTGCAGGCCTCCGCGCGTCTGAAGAACTCCGTCAACTTGCCGAAACCTTATGAACCTGGCCGGCAGTTTGAGCACGCGAGCGCTGCTCGGAAACATTGCCACACTGTACTTACGATGGCAGGTTGGACGAGCTTGTCAATACCTGCAGGCTGTTATCTAGCAGCTTCATGTACACATTTGATCACTTGTAGGCATCCAATCGTGTTAGACCCGAGGTGAAGCAGATCGCCGTTCCAGACCAGGTCCATTTCCACGCCTGCAAAAACCAAGGGGGCCAGGAGCAGCGTGCTTGGTTTTCAAATGGCGCGCCTTTGCCGACCGGATGCTGGATCGGCGTGCCTTAATCTCAACTGAAGTTGGACGCAGGCGAGCAAAGCAATATATTGCATGTATAGTGCCAAAAAGCTCGAGTCAGGGCAAAAGACCAACACCACATGCGCAGAGCGCATAGCGGACAGGCCTTTGCGTTGACACAGCTCCCAGGTGGGTGCAAGTGGAAAGGAGGCGGGCGAGGAATCCGCGGCGCGCGGGTTGCTGCGGTGGGCTCTCTGTCATCCAGGACGGTGCAGCGCGTCAAGTGGTGGACAGAAAGGGAGGGCTGGTTCAAGGGCAGTCAGTGGCTGGCAGGCAGGTGCGGCCCAGCGGCCTCCAATGCCCCGTCCCGTCAACCCTGCCCACCGTCACCGACTGCCCGTCCCCATCGCATATGCCCCGGCTTCCTCCCCGCCCTTGACGCTGGAGGCGCTAGACCCAGTCAACCCAGTGTACTTTCCTGCTTGTATCCAAGCTGCTTTTGGGGGCCCATTTGAAGCGGGCAGGTACCTCCCAGGCTTCCGGCTACCTATCTACCCTTGGTGGTACGAAGTGCACATGCACACACACACACACACACGCACACACACCACCCACTGATTGAACCTCCACCAAGGAGGCAGCGCATCGGAGAACCCCCGGACCTTCTTTTCTCTCCATTTCCCTCATCCCATCCATTCTTTCATCCACCTCTCCTTCCCGTCTCCCCCCTTCTGCTCCTACTCGCTTCTTCTCTACATTACCTTTCTGGTCCCTTTGGGAGCTGTGTACCAAAATCTCGGGAGTCCAGTGCAAGAAATCGCGCGCCCTCTGGTCTGGGCTGTTGTCCTGGGAGCCTGCCTTTCACTTCAAAGGCACAGACTGCGTCTGTCA